CCTCTGGGCCCGGCCCTCGCTGCCGCGCTTCCTCCAACCCGAAGCCTGAGTCACCGTCCGCGAGGCCCAGAGGCCCAGGCCCCGCCGCTCACCTTCCGCAGGGAACTCCTCGAACTCGTCGTCCTCCTCCAGGAGACCCAAGTCTACCGGCTGCTTCTTCTCGGACATCGCGACCCTCCGCGCCCCAACCGCCTCAGGCCAGCAGGAAAGTTGGACCCACTCGCCTCACCACGGCTGCCGCCGCCGCCTCCGAGCACGCTCTACCATAGAGACGCGGGGGAAGAGCGAGAGGGGCGGCGCGAGGAATGCTGGGATACTGGAGGTCGGCCCCGCGCCTCCTGCGGGTTTAGCCACCCTTCAGTTAGAAAGGTTGCCTAGGTTGGACCTGTTGTACCTCTGCGGCCTTATCGCGAGTCTCTGAATTGACAAACTGGATGTCAGGGTAGGTTTCCGCGACTAGAAAAGACTCATATTGTGTAAAAATAAATTCAAACCTGAGGGGTGAGGCGTCCGCCAAGATTCATGAAGGGCCTGCTAAATGCCGGGCCCTTAGCCTAGGTTGGCTCCGTCCTTAAACCAATTCGCTGAGCACACCCCATATTAAATATATGCACACCCCAGAATATTCAGGTTTGGAAATGGCCAAAGGCATTCAGGGAGTGTTAGTCAACCCAAATGCTTATTTGTTCACCTGACTTCAATCTCCACATTTTCCCATTCGGTGTTCCTCCATCTTGTAGTTACACCGTGGTGAATACCCGATTAATAGGGAGTGTGTGTAATAACTACTTTACAGGTTGTTACAAAATAATGCTACGTAAAAGCGAGGTACATAATATCCTATGGCGTTTAAAACATGTCATTTTGAATTTTTAAAATATCTAATATTTGGAATGTAGTGATCTACATAAAACTATCTCATCTATATGTGATACTATAGTTGAACATTGCGGAATATAATTAAATGTACATTAATTATTGTACATTTTGTTACATGTGTTTGTTTATGTGTTGAAATCCCATTTCTTCAACAGCATCCCATAAACTTTATACCATGAACCAGGGACTGTGCTGGAACATCAAAGGTATAGACGAGGTCCTTGCCCTCAAGTAGCTCATAGTCCACTCAGAGACATGGACACAGATGGGTCACAATGACACAATAATACATTTGAATCTCTATTTGCAATTAAAATTTCCTAAGAAGTGGACAAAGTGCATGAGTGTTCAGAGGAGAATGGAGCAACTAAATAGAGCACGTATTTGGATCAGAGTTTGGGAACCTACAATTAGCTGTAACTTTCAAAAAAATAAGATTACCCTTCATAATACTATTTTGATTTGATTATTGAAAACATTGACAGTCTTCAAATTAAGTTCCAAGTATATGTAATTTGGTATGCTACATAAGTAAGTACCAAATTAATGAAAGAAGGGAGACTATGAGGAAAACCTAAAGTTGGTAATGAATGTAGACAGTAGAAATGCAGAAAGCATGTAGTATATTTCTTCATATGCAGAAAGTAGTAGTATATTCTGCACATGCAGAAAGTATGTAGTATATTCTTCATATGCAGAAAGTATGTAGTATATTCTTCACATGCAGAAAGTATGTAGTATATTTCTTCATATGCAGAAAGTATGTAGTATATTCTTCATATTAAAGTCCATTTAATTGCAGCATTTGCTAACTTTGATGAGCTCTCTTAAGAGATTTATACTCTCTAGCATGCCTTCTGTCACACATATTACATATACCACTAGAACCACACACCAAGTTGAAGCTTGGGGCAGGCAGTTTGATTTTGACATCAAAGAATAAAAAACAAATCACATATCTGAGCAGTCATCTTATGCAGAGGTAAAAGATTTGCCCAAGGACAAGTTTATAGAGACAGAAAGATTAATGGCTGCAAGGAGATGGAACTAACTGCTAATACGATGATGATTGAGGATAGTAATGGCAGATAGTGATGATGGTTGCAAAACAAGGAATAAACTGAACACCCCTGAAATGTACACTTCAAAATGGTGAATTTTATGTTATGTGTGAAGTATATTTTAATACTTAAAATGCTATTAAAAATTAGTCCAAGGAGTCAAGAATCCCAAATTCTACTTCCTGGGCCTATTATTTGATTTATTAATTCTTAGCAAAAGAAAAAAGCAATAGCAATATAGTGATTTTCTTCCCTGAAACTGAATATATTCTATTTAAAGGAATAATTGAGAAACTACCTTATGTTTAGTCCCCATTTATTTTATTTTATTAATTCATTAAATACAAAATGCTGGAACCACTGACTGGATAACCTCTCATTTTAGCCATTGTGGCACATGGTTAAAATGAGCATCTTCTCATTTTCATGGTATGGCACAGGGAAAAACTTTGAGAAATGATAGCCATTAGTGTATGAGGCACTGGAGGCATTATTGCTTCGTTACATTGAGCATATAAGAATACATATTTGATGGACCAGGCTATAAATCCATGCTGAATTCCTACCAAAGGGGGATTTTAGGCAAATTACTTAATTTCTCTAAAATATATTTTGGTTACTTGCAGAGTTATAGTAAAAATTAAATGAGATTATCTGGTGTACATAGTGTAATGTGGTCAATACATGTTAGTTACTATTAACTATCTCAGATCTTCCATACCAATCCTAAAAATCTCTAAATGTGGATTTTGTTTCTTAGTTGACATCTTGGTGATACTTTGTGAGGAAGTCAGTCCCTCTACAAGTTAATAATAATATAAATAACAGTAGCCAACCTGTATTTAGTGCTTACTATGTATCAGGCACTATGCCACACCCTTTCTGTATATTTACTTATTGAATCCTCCTCACAGTGAGTACTTAAAATTTAAATTTGTTTTATATTTGAGAGAAGTAAGTGCTAAGGCATGGTGAAGCTATTATATCCTAAGGGCTTTGTTAAAGATAGGAAACAAACCATCTCATTGTATGGAAAGGCAGACAGTTCACACACAAATCTCTAGAATCATTTCTTTCTAACACTTTTAAAGGTATACACATGTGGGAAAATGGCAAAACATAAATGTAGACAGAAGTGCAAAGGACAAACAGGTAGAATAAAGGAGAAAATAAAACCTTGGGGTTGACGTAGTTCTCCATGGCTAGGAACCATCCACAATTCTAGTGAGAAGCATTGGAGTAAAAACTGTGCCTTTACCTTCATATCAGATCATGTCTGTAATTGGTGGATTATATTTAACTTCAAAGGAAATCAAATTAGTAGCAGATTTTATAGTAGTTGATTCCATTTGTCTCAGGCAAATCTTTTTCTTTCTAGAAGTTGCATTTGGGATCCACATGGTATTAGTTACATCACAAATACATACCCGAATCTTTGTTTGCTATGGAGTAACTATTCCATAACCAGGCAGGATGGATCCCATGCGATTGACCTTTCTGTATCCATTTCTATCCAGGAAGAAATGGTGAGGGGCTGTTTAATGGCCGATATCTGGAGAAAGGACCAATTTCAAAGGCATCTTCATTTTGACTTCCGGAGGACACAGGTAATTAGCCAGCCATGAAAAACTGAGAACGCAAACCTATGATGGCCTTTCAGGAAAGATGAAAAGCTTAGGCTCCAAAGTTACTCAGAGTAGAGTCATGTACTTGAGTGACTTTGGTTGTGCTACTTATGTCCTTCTGTGACCAGGTTATTTCATTTAGCATAATGTTCTCCAGGTTCATCCATGTTGTTGACTAGCACAGAATTGGCTTCTTTTAAAAGGCTGAGTAATATTCCATTGTATGTATAGACCACATTTTCTTTGTCCTTCACCTGTCAATGGACATTTAGGTTGTTTTCATATCTTGGTTATTGTAAATAATGATGCAATGAACATGGGAGTACAGATATCTTTTCAAGATCCTGATTTCAATGCTTTTGGATAAATGCCCAGAAGGGATTGCTGGATGACATAGTCATTCTGGTTGTAATTTTTGAGACACTTTCATGCTATTTTCCATAGTGGCTACACTATTTTACTTTGTCACCAACAGTATATAAGAGTTACATATTCTCCACATCCTTACCAATACATGTTACCTTTTAGGGTTTTGTTACATTTTGGTTTTGGTTGTTTGTTTTATAATACCCATTCTGATAGATATGAGGTGATATCTCATTGTGGTTTTGATTCACATTTCCCTGGTGATTCATGATATTGAGTATCTTTCACACACTTGTTAGACATTTGTATGTCTTATTGGGAGAAATGTCTATTCAAGTTCTTTGCCCACTTTCTAATTGGGCTATTTGTTTTTTGCTATTGAGTTATAGGATTTCCTTATATATTTTGGAGATTAGCCCATTATCAGTTATGTATAGTTTATTTTTCTCCCATTCTATATGTTGCCTTTTCACTCTGTTGATCGTTTATTTTGCTGTGCAGAATTCTTTAGTTTGATGTAGTTCCATTTGTCTTTCTTTTGCTTTTGTTGCTTGTACTTTTGGTGTCATACTCAAGAAATCAATGCCTAGACCAATGTTATGAAGCTTTTCCTTATGTTTTCTTGTAGGAGTGACTTTAGGTCCTATACCTAAATTTTTAGCTTCAGGTCCTATACCTAAATTTTTAATCTATTTTGTGTTTATTTTATTTTTAAACATTTTATTGATTTCAGAGAGAGGAAGGGAGAGAGTGTGAGAGAAACATCGATGAGAGAGAAACATCAGTCTGCTGCCTACTGCATGCCCCCTACTAGGGATTGAGCCAAGCCGGCAACCTGTACATGTATACTGACTGTGAATTGAACCAGTGACCTCTTGGTGCATGGGT